TGCGGAGCACAACATCATTGATGAGTCATTTAATACTCTCTCTCACCGCAGAAATGTCTCCGCCGCACACTGGTGTTTATGTATGGATCAGATCACCTAGGAGCAAGCCAGCCATGGCAGAAGACCAGCGCTTAATATGTTCTGCACTCATTTACCGTACTTTATTGCCTTATGATCAGATTGGCTTCAGAACACAATTACAAACACAGACATGCACACATACACAGAAAAATACAAGTGTGGACATTTTTGTAATCGAAAATGTCATTAATTGTGTCTTCAGTGTCACATGATCCTGCAGAAATCATTCTAATATGCTGATTTGATGCTCAAGAAACATTTATTATTATTATCAATGTTGAAAATAGCTGTGCTGCTTAATATCTTTATGGAAACCATGATACACTAGCATTTAAAAGTTTGGGGTAAGTAAGAAACACATTTTATTAAGCAAGGATGCAATTAAATTGATTAAAAGTGACAGTAAAAAATGTACAATGTTTCAAAAGTTTTCCATTTCAAATAGGCTAATAGTCAGAATATCACAATGGTTTCTGAAAGATCATGCGGTACTGAAGACTGTAATGGCTGCTTAAATTGATTACATTTGACAATATATTCAAATAGAAAACAGTTACTTAAATTACAATAATGTTGCACAATATTACTGTTCATACTGTATTTTTGATCAAATAAATGCAGCCTTGGTGAACATAGAAGACGTCTTTCAAAAACCCTATATATAAAACAAATAAAAAAGTTAGATCTACTTGTGCAATGTAAGGCTAATAATGTTCTGAGCTGGTAATAAACGAACAGACATTAATGCATTCTTCTAGTGTTGATGTTGATAAGTGCCAGCGTGTGTTTTCTGAGTTGAAGTGTGTGACGACACTTAAGCGAGGGTTTTGTGTAAAGTGGAGACCAGAGGGTGTTTGCTCTGCAAGGTGAAACACTCTCTGTTTTTCTTGTTGTTTTTAACCAGAATAACTAAACATATTAGCATATGAATCTTTAGCCAAGCTTGCTACTACTCTCACGTGTTGTGGTCACATGACATGCCTCTCACCTCGATGGATGGATTAGAAGCATTGTATAGTTGCCAAGTACCTGTACATGGCTTCTTAAGATGCCAGTTTCAAGTGATCTCACACTTATGTTCCCATTTTATATAATTACTTTTATTTAAACATTTAAGTCTGGTTTGCAACAACATTTACAGTATTTGCAATACAGCAATGGTTTTCAGATAATCTTTTACATGAGTTAATGAAATCTAACTGTTTAATGATTCAGGAAAAACAGAATCTCAAGTAGATTATTTACATTCTGGTGTCTGATACCTAAAACAACTTTACTAATAAAGCTATATTGAGTATCAGGGGACATGTACTTACAGTAGAACAGTTAATGTGATTACCAACAGAGCAAATTAAAAGCTAATTCCTAGATAACTGATTAGAAAGAAGGTCAATGCTTGACATAATTAAACATAAAATACATTTCTTATTTAAAATTATTTTAATATACACACACATACATAAATATATACATACACACGTATACATATATACAGTATATACATACATATATATATATATATATATATATATATATATATATTATATTTAACACTGAAAAAGAACACACATCACCTTTAAAGGCACATCTAAAACTATTTTCCTGTCTTTTGTAGCTGTTAAACAGATGAAACAAAACAGATATTGTACTGTCTGTTTGTCGAATATATTTGGCTGTAGACTCTGCCTTCTTATGATGTATGTAATACTCTCAAGTGCTCCTTTGCAAGTCACTTTGGACCAAACTTTATGTATATTCAGCAAATGAAACTGCAAAAAGTCAGCCTCGGGATGTTCTGTTGTGAAAACAGTTCAGGAGCGCTGCTGGCCAAGCAGTTTTATTTTAACATTGAGTGTGTGAGAGTGTGTGTGATGTGAGGGGTTTACACGTAACACGACATTCTCTGACCTACAGTCAGACATCTGAACCTGCCCTGAACACGTCTGCATGGTAATGAGGATGTAATGGGGATAAAGATAGCAGCTACCTGACAACCTTGTTCCACACAGAGAATTTGAACCTGACCTTAGCATGTGAAGGTCCTCCTTAATAAAAATAAAAAAATACACAAGTGTGCTTTACTAAACCTCTTTCCTAATTTAGAAATTATCCAAAAGTCTTTCAAAAACCCACATCCTGGCTCCACATTCAGAATAATTAAGAGTAAAGAATAATTAAGAGTAAAGAAGTCTCTCATACTCACTAAGGCTGCATTTATTTAGTCAAAAATACTGTAAAAACAGTAATATTGTGAAATAATATTACAATTTAAAATAACTTTTATATTTTAATATATTTTAAAATGTAATTTATTCTTGTGATGCAAAGCTGTATTTTCAGCATCATTACTCCAGTCTTCTGTGTCACGTGATCCTTCAGAAATCAGTCTAATGTGCTGATTTGCTGTTCAAGAAACATTTATTATTCAGTGTTGTACTGGGTACTGAGAGTTTAAAAAAAACCTATATATATATATATAGTAAATTAGTATTACTACAGTTCTTATTTATTTAAATTATTATAAATAATATTTATAATTTAAAAAAAGTATTCAATGGTCTACTACAGTGTACTATAGGTTAGGAAACCAAATCCACATGAGCTAATTCCATGTAATGATTATTCATGTGCTCAAGTGTGTTGACTCAGACCCCCCAGGCTGTTCTTTATGGGATGAACTTATATAAGAATCATTTTCTGTCTATTGGTTACCTTAAAAAAGAATGTGGTTACCATAGAAATAGCTGCATTATGATGTGTTCGGTAGCCCAGGGTGGAATCTGCTCCTTGTGTTTTGGGAGACTTGTGTTTATGTCATTGGCTTCTATTACTTACAATCCGCGTTTGTGTCTCTGCATGTCCTGAGCTGTTATATTTTATGACTTGTGTGTATCTTATATTATAAAATTTAGGATGACAACAGAAAGTTATTGAAGTCGATTCGAACTGCTTTTCACAACAGATTTTGCTCATTTTTAATGGGGAAAAATGTGAGGTGGGACTTGATTTTATCCATCAGGAAATGATTTAATTATAAAAAGTGGGTGTTACATTATAATGGAGCCAGACGTAATATGAGTTTACTAAATCAATACCTATAGCCTTTTCTTTGGAATAACGTGCAGCAATGAATCGTTCACAAAATGACCAGGAACATTATTAAAAAAAACAATAGGTTCATTTTTGATTTCACAGTAATTTAAATTAAATTATAATTGAATTATTTCGAATAATGAACCTAAGTTGTTGACTGAATATTTAACATTGTTTATGCTGTACCATAACTTGTTCCAATAATAAGTACAATGTCTCTTTTCCACCTCAAACCCAGTTTAGTCAAAAAAACAGCATTTACTGATTTTTTAAAAGAAATTTAGCAGATTATACCGATCTGGAATCGTCTTTCCCTGTGCAGACGGACTAAGAGAAAGCACAGACACTGAACTCAGATCAGCAGAAAATGGAAAGCTCTCACCATGGCAGCGTTGCTAAGGAACATGAGCTGCTACTTAACCTCCATTTTCTGTCTGACAGCTGCAGCTCTTGTGTTTGCTAATGTATTCATTTCAGTGTACTCAGACTATGAGTGTTACACACAATGTCCGTCTGCTAACAGACCTGCCAACACACACACACACACACTTAAGACACATGTATGCAACTTACAAGGCTGAAAAGGCACCTGAGGCATATTAATGATTTTATAATACAATATTTTGTTATATGATGGTTTCACATAGGGCATTTACATGAGCCTGAGGTTGCCAGATATAGAAAAAAACATTGAGTCTTTATTCTCTTCTCTTATGATGAGTAGCCTTATCTGCATTGCCCAGGAAACATGTCATTGCCCACTATCAGTTTCTACAAGGGACCACAATAGCTGAGAGCACATCAATGCTCCTCCAACTGTGCCATTACAGATCTGTGAGGGTGTGTTATCTTGTTAAAGGAGCCCCTTGCCAACTGGGTGAATGTTGGACATGAATGAATGCAGAGAGGATAGCCATACCCCTCATGAATGACATTGTCCCAACTGAACGCATTCCCAATCATTACTGTGCCTCTAACATGGATATTCACCTTCTCAAAACTCTGGCCACACCTGCATCTAGTCCAATAATGTTACTGTGCGCATATGAGATGCACAACCCAGTGGTTAGTGTTAACAGTTGGACTTGGGTAGTCTTGCCCAAAACACAAAGTGAATAAAAAGACAAGATATAAGGTTATATGATTGATAAATAGTATGACATTAAGATCTTTCCTGTTGCATATGTGCACTGTAAAGTGTAAGGCCTAGATTAGCCTGCCTGTGTTTCCTGCACCTCTATTCAGGAGGGGAGAGTAAATAATAATAATAATACTAATAATAAAGTTGTGAGCTTGTAAGTGAGAAAACGACTGGCTGTTACGAATTAATACATTGACAATCAGTCAACCCAATTTTCCATTACATGATTACAAGCAAAGACAAATCTGCAGTGCAACATACTGTCTGATTCGTAAACAAATCACAATAATTAAATGCTCTATGAAAAAGCTGAAGCATTTTGTGCTTCAGTACTGAAATTGTGCAGTTCAGTGCGGCCTGTTGGGAAAAGCGAATCAGATTTATCTACAAAGCTAAAAATCACTTTGTCCAATAAAAATGCTGTACTCAAGTGCTGCGTGAAATGGGGTCAGAAAAATCTCACCATGCAAGGGCTGATGCTGTTTTATGCGGTTCATTGATTTGAAAGTAAAGGCCAGGCTTAGTCATATTGAGCTAAGGTTTTAAGCACGATTATAGCTGAGAGAAGACTTATTTCCACAACATTATGTATTTTTATATTACTTAAAATTATTGTTTGTACTTGTTTTTTTTATTGGCAGACCATGGTTTACAAACCAAGTAAGTCTTTCTTTCTCTCTCCTAGACTCTCTGGGTGGACCGTTCCCCTCAACAGCTCACCGATGCCACCACAAACCCAAACGCTGTTTACCCTTGCATCTGTGTGGAGGTGTCCCCGTGAACCCCCTTCTCTTCCACCCCAATGCTAAGGGCTCTCAGATAGTCATGGATCTAGCACAAAGGAGCGTCAAACGGCAGGCCAGCTTCTGCAATGCCATCACTTTCAGCAACCGGCCCATTGCTCTTTATGAGCAGGTCCGCTTAAAGGTAGGAACAAGGAAAGGCATGATAAATCTAGGGCACGTTGAATATTTGGGAACAGTGGGATAATCTGGGGGGATGGTGAGTCTGGAATACTCAAGTGGATGAAACACACAGGCGGATGTGAATACTTCTGAGGGTCTGCTACAGCAATGACGACGTTTATGTGACAAATGTCTTGTCATAGCCTAGCGTGTGCGTAAAAAAAAAACGAAGTACACTTTAGGCTTTAGGAAAATGTGTTTTCTCTTGCTCTATCCTTCTTAGTTTGTTCCTCTATTGTTACTGTACTTTAAAAACACCATCCTAAAGAAGTTGCGCAAGTTCTCACTTCCCAAGTCAATGCAGTAACAATCCAAAATAAACACTCTTACCCCAGACTATGGCACTCAATCTAGCCTAACCAGTTATACGACCAACACACACAGATGGTTTTGTGTTTTTATACTCACTCATTAGTCAAGTTTTAACCCTGATATTCTCAGTAGCGCAGAGCCACTCTGATATACGTCACTGTGTTCTTGAAATGTTTGTAGTGCTTATTCCTGGAGTTACTGTAAATCAAATAAAACAGAGCTTCTCTACTCCAAACACACCACATGACTAACTCATATATCCCCTCAATTGTCCCCTAAGCGCAACCATTTATGATCATCACAAAATGTGCCCCCCGTTTGGCCTTCAGCACTGCTACAAATGGAAATACAAGAGCAAACTTTGATAGAATTAAGTTGAAATTAATCACATGTAAAGGATTTAAAGGAATGAACTGGAAACTTGTTTCAGCTCACAGGAAAGAAAAAACACAAAAGCAATGTAACTTAATAACCCCAAAACAGAAATGAGATTAAATAGAGTGTGGATGAAGAATTTTGTGTTTGGGAAACAGAAATAGTTTTTGGTGCTCCTAGTGGCACACTGCACCTTTAAAAAGTAGCATCTGCATAAAGTATGTCCCATATGATATATACTGTATATATATTTTATAAATCAAAACTATAATTTCTAAACACTGTCAGAAAAATGTTGTAGTGGTACAACAGCTTGTCGCCTTAAATGGACAATTTAGTATCTTATCAACCCCAAAAGGTACATATTAGTAGCATATAAGTAGTAAATACATACCCTTAAGGTACTATTTCAAGCCTTTAGGGGTAAATAAGATACAAAGATGCCCCTTTGAGGGAACTAGTGACAAGTTGTTGTACCCCTAATGGTACAGATTTTTACACATTGGTTTCTGAGAGTAAACATTTCTATGCTATGCAGTGACTCATGATGAACACTTTCGTATGTTGTAATGATAGCAGATCCATTTTTCTGTCTTTAGATAACTAAAAAGCAATGCTGCTGGAGTGGTGCTCTCCGCCTGGGCTTTACTTCTAAGGACCCGTCTCGAATCAATCCCGACAGCTTGCCCAAATACGCCTGCCCTGACCTGGTATCCCAGAACGGCTTCTGGGCCAAGGCCCTGCCAGAAGAGTTTGCAAACGAAGGAAACCTAATTTCCTTCTGGGTGGATAAGAAGGGGAGAGTATTTTACCGCATCAACGATTCCAGCCCCATGTTGTTCTTCAGTGGCGTTCGGACCACAGAGCCACTGTGGGCCCTCATCGATGTCTACGGTCTGACCAGAGGAGTGCAACTGCTGGGTGAGAAAAATAACTGTCCTCATACAGTAGTGTAAGCCAGTTCATGCCAGGTCTAAATGTTCTGCTCTAACAGACTGTAAAAGGAAAAATACTGAAGTAGTGTTTTTTTAATGCTAGCTTGATTTTTAAATTGGAAAAACTCAGTGTGCAGCATAAATTGTCACATTTAATTCAATTATAATTTATATAAGATTGGTTTTACAGTTTACCAAGAGTTTTTCTAAAACATTGTTCGAAGAATGGTGAAAATGGCGACATTGGACTTAGTGTGCATTATTTTAGGTGCAAAAAATTCTTTATGAATATTTTGCGCATATGTTTTACATGAACAAAATGTTTCCTCCTGTTTCCTCCTAAATAGTTGCCATTTAAGGTTATTTTATATGAAAACCTGTTAATTCACCATGCATGTGTGAGGCTGTTGCTTCTTCTAACTCACTGTTCTTGATAGAAAATCAATTTTAATTCATATTTATACATTTAAAAGTGCTTTTTCAATTTAGTTAAACACAAAATATACATTTTGAGATAATCAACTGGCTGCTCTTAAACTCCAACAAGAAAAAAAAAGAACTAGTGAGCTGGATTCTGGACTGGAGTCTGAGTTTTGAGCGATTCATTCAGACCAGTTTCGTGAATAAATCAATTTGTTCAAAAATTGGACATCATTACATCTCTGAACTAGGGTGCATTTCCTCTAGTTAGGTAATGTGCTAATGCTTATAAAGTTGTCTTGAAAACTTGTTAGAAATTATTTTTTACTGTTTATGTAAGTGTATGATCAAGAATAGCTCTTGCTCTAAACACACAGCAAATCAGAGAGCTTAAACTTGAAGGCAGTGGTCTAGATGTATTGCTGTATATAATCACAGTCAATATTGTCAAGAGCAGAGCATACCATACGCCACGCTTTGATGTACCGTTCTGTGTACAAGTGTTTGTGCATGGAAGGAGGGGTTTGGCAGTAAGAGGCGAGACATTCACATCTCACACGCATACATGCAGCAGGCTTTAATGCTGTCATCCCCCAGGGTTAATTATAGAACCAGGTCACATACACCAGAGATAGCTCCATTTATCCTAATTGAGCTCTGTGGCAATTGACGGCAGCCTCTCTGTCTGCTATCTGTCCACTGTGGGGGATGTGTTTCGTTACGTGTACGAGTAACTTTATCTGTATCTTTGCATCATGAAGTCAGCGTTGACATGCACTGCTGAACCTATGTTCTGCGACGGTCTACTGGCACGCTGAAACCAAAGAATGTGTGTGTGTAAGACCTGTTTCACACCGCACACAAAGGCAGTATGTATTTATTTCGCCACCTATGGTAGCAGTATTCACACTGTGTACATAAGCAGTATGATGCTACGTAGCACATAGGTTTGAGTTTCGGCACTGAAAGTGCACTATAAATTTATCAGCACAATTTTTTGCAACAAACTATGAACAAACATTAAAAAGCAAACTAGTCATCCGTCATCTGATACACATACGTGTGTATCCACTCTTTTCACCTCCCAGCAGTACGTCACATTTTCTCTTTCCAGAAGGGTTTGTAAGTGTGCATAGAGCCTGCAGAGAAAGATCAAAAGAGCTCGTCCTGTATTTCCATCAAACGTTGCTCCTGGAGTGCTGATGCCAGAACTGAAACAATCACATTTGAGTCTCAATTTCCTGCGGGCTGACATGAAATGCCTTTATTTACAGGACGCGGGAAGGAAGAACTTGTTAGTGACAGTACACAAAGCCTGAGGAATCAAAAACGGACCCTATTTAGTATTTACTTTATTAATACACCTTCTTGGTCTTATGTGAACCGTTCACATTCATAGATGAATGATTGAATGAATACATTTAATGAATAAATACAGATTTAGGTTTTGGTTTAAGTTACTTTTGTCAGTAATGGTGCCCTTCTAAATAATTATTTCATTCCAGTTGACGTTAATGTAATAAACAAATGAACAAATAATAAATTAACAAACAACAAAAAAAGCATTACCATTGGGTACATTGTGATGCTCTCAAGTGTGAACTTGACCTTCAGTCACCACGTCCCAGTTAAAAAGCTTTAAAAGTGGCTCCCAGCAGGGTTTCAAGAGGGGGGTAGGCCTACGCAATCAAATGCAAACGCAAAATCGGGTCTAGAACGCCCACTTTTCTCGATGGATGAAACTCCCAGTGGATAAAAGTCCTGACCTACATTTTTCTTGTTGAATATCAATTCTCACTCAGAAATGTCGCATTAGAGAAGAAAAACAAAGAAAGAAACGTTTTCCTGTTTTTCTCAATTCATGTGCTAAATAAATACAGCTTTGATTGGGGATGGAAAAACTGGTCTGAACTGGTAGAACCATTTGTAAACCATTTACAAAATGAGGTTTGAAGATGAATTTGAACGCTCTATGGTCCATTTGTACGGATGCCATAAATTCTTCCTTGTAATTTTAGCTGTTCTTATCTTGTGAAACTTTGTTTTGAGTGCCTCAAGCTTAAATACATGATGACCTTTTCTCATGCACCTGTGAGTTTGAAACACACACACACAGATGGTAACACATTGTCCACAATAACAAATGCACACACCCACACTAACGGCACAGCTTTCACTAATGATTGAGATCATTTGAGGTACCTGCATAGCATGCCTATTATGCTGGTAGGTATAAGAATGCATTGCTGAAACATACACTGGCCTGAAGTTGATACTACGGTTGCCAGACATGCATTTCAGGATAGTAGTTGACATTTAATTAATCCACCATAACCCATAAACAACCAAAAGCTTGTGACTATAGCACTATGATTAATTTATGATTTATCATAAATTGTCTTGAGAAATAGTTCAAATACAGTTAGTTTGGAGAGCACACAGACTGTAAAAATTATTTTTAAATAATTATTTACAACTTGATTATTTCAGTGCATTTTTACAAGGAAATGCTATTTTAGTCTTTCTATTTCAAAATTTCCCATTTAATTCAATGTGAAATTTACTAACAATTTTTGAGAAAATTATTATTATTATTATTATTATTTCAGTGTAGGTGATTTTTAGTGCTTTAGTTAATTTGCTGTTATTTTTTAAAGAGTACTATTTACTGGCCTGTTTATAAATTTAGACCAACATTGTTAAAGGTATTTTTTCTCTATGGTTAAAATACTTTCTGTCCCATATCCAAGCATCTCAACCAGCCCAACACTACAACATAAACTCAACCAATGGTGTGCATTGGGGGGGGGGGAGGGGGCGACGGACTATTTGTGTAACCAACCAATGGCAGGGTGTTTAGGGAAACATGTTTGAAAACATCTTTTTTGCAATTCCTTTTTTTTTTTTTTTTTACAACTAGTGGTACAGTGATACTCATTCCTTCCTTAGAGGCAACCACTCACACACTGTGATCTCCTGTCTGTCCAACTTCCCTTTCTCCTGTAATATCCGCTCTTCAGCACTCTTTATCGCCCCTGCAGCTAGGAGGTGATTCCACAACTGTCTTGCAGGCTTCTTTATAGTATGTGATTAGAGTCTGGCTGGACCTTGAACCTTGTTAGTGTGGTGTAGTTTTCAGGGTTCTAGAATGTATTGGTGAAATTAAAACGTCCCTTGAGGCATTTGGAAATGCATTGAGGCTGGAATGTTGTTTAATAAATAACCCAGCCCTCAGTAACCCTCTTCCGAAAAACACTGGCCAGGCTATAAGTGGCAAAAGCTGGTGGACCAACTTATTGGGAAGCACCAATTTACAAAAAAATAAAAAATAAAAAATTCATACAGTGGCACAATTTCCCTTCTTGTGAGCCAAAATTAGCACCCTTTTAATTCATGAGTTTGATATTTAGCTGGCAAAAACAGTTGCTGACATTGTTTCCTTTCATTCATTTGGCTCGTCTGTGTTTATTTTGCAAAATGATCGCCATTAATTGTGGTATATAACCTCCAGTATGTGCAGTGTGTGGATTTATTATACTATACTGCATGAACTTGAAATTCTGATGGATGATGGTGGGCTAGCACAAAGTATTGTGCTTAGCAGAACATTACATAGATGTGACTAAAGTCAGAAGAGCCCACAGTGGAAGTCTGGTACTGAGTATATGTAATGAAGATTTTACAGACTACATAGTTTATACTGTATGTCAACCATCTTTATCTCATGATTCAAACAGATACACTTTATGGCTCACGTTGGGGGTGTCACAGAACATTTCATACTTCTATTGTTTAACAAAGACTTTGTGCTTCCAGTGTCCAAGCATTCGAGTGAAAGAAAACACTCTCACTCTATATGCACATCCAGAGCAGCTCCTAATGGGATTTCAAATAACTTGTCAAACATCTGGACTTTGTAGCAAGAGCATAGCGTCTGGTTTAACTAGCATTACATAGGCTAAACTGGACCCTTGTGGTCCAAAATGCAATTTGCCTACAAGAAAAGTTATCCACAATGTATCTAATTATACAACCTGGGGCCTGTTTCATAAAACAAGTTGACCAAATAAGCCAGGTTTATTTCAGTTAGCCTGACTTATTGTCAATTGATTTGGTTCAAAATAAGTCAGACTAACTGAAATAAGCCTGGCTTGTTTGGTAAACTTGTTTTACTGGTGGCAGCCGCTGCTGCTGGTGGCATCATGACGCTCCCCCTACAGAATCTGCAAGGTATGAATCCATATTGATACAGTGAAAAAGAATTGGACTTGTTTTATGAAACAGCCCCCTGGTCTCATAAAAATACGTACCTCTGTGTACTTTTTGTGCAACACCGTTTTTACGTACCTTACTGCACGTTTCACCGCAGTTTCAAAGAGAAATGTCCATTGAGTGACGCTAAAACACGGGTTCAATACATGAACCCTGGCATGTTTTTATTACGTTGATACAGGTACATATTGCTGTGTCTTTATTATGTTGCTTGTGGTACGTATTGCGGCGGTTCAGAATTCAAATATCCGTGGACTGTCGCTAAAGGTTAATGCTCTATCGTGTTGGAAATAT